ACAAAAAGGAGACAAAAACATTTATGTTTCAATTAGATTCGCTTTATAAGGGCAAGGACACTCCTCCCCCACCAAACTGTTTTCCTGGGAGTCATTAGCGCTGTATCACTTTACCACACCCAGCAAAGAAAAGAATACTACTTTGTGTAAAGTGTTGTGTTTCTCTAGAAAGAGTGGACCCAGATAGCCTCCATGCCTTGATGTCTCTCAGCAAATTCTAATTAATGAATTTCAGTTTTGTGCCACAAAGTCCTAAGATGTCCTGTGTTTAGACCTTCCTAAGTGCAAAGTGGTCTCTATTTCCTTCATCTTAACAAAAATCATCACTCTGTAGGGTAAATTTCAGGTATTTCAGTGTCTCTGCTTTGAGGTTGTATAGCATTGTATAACATTCTTTGTATTTTCTCCGTGACAAAAAAAAAAAAAATTTAAAATTGGTCCTTGTCAATAATCTATAGCAAAACAAATGAAATAAACATGGTTTCAGATATTATACCCTTAGTCTAATTGGGGAAAAAAATCAGTACTTTCTTTTTTTCTTATGAAAATTTAAGGAAAGGGCAGGATCCTTTATTGTAATAATAACTTAGGAAAAAATGACTCAACTCAATCTCAAGCCACTCTGTTTTAAGTGAGTTGAGAAATCTATGTGTACTTAGGCAGACGGGAGAAGCTATGAGAAGCACCAGAGCATGGAAAGAAATAGCATATCCTGATTAAGGAAAGATGGAGCGGGAAAGTTTGCATGTAGCAAAACACTCATGAGGAGAAAGCAGAAGCAACAGCCGACTTGGGAGGCAGATTACTGAACACACAAGGATCTGTTCTGACATGACTCCAACCTTAGAAGTACAAGAGAGAGTACCACATATAAACACACATACATCAGTCCATACAAACTTTCAGATAAGTAAGGACAAACTGCCAAGAAGCAAGCTATCTATTCATAATTATTCAAAAAACATCCTTTTTTGTTTTGTTTTGTTTTGTTTTCTCAGTGCTGGGGATTGAACCTAGGAACTTCACATTGAACTACATCCCCAGTTCTCCTTTTTAATCTTTTATTTTGAGGCAGGGTCAATTGAAGTCATGAAATTGCCTAGACTGTCTCAGAGGGCCGGGATAACAGATGTGAGCCACCATGCACAGCTTCAGGAAATATCTTTGGAGAGCTTCCTTTGTTTCTCTCAAGGTGCTTAGATGGGTGGAGGAAGCCAAGGAGGCAACACTACTCTGCAAGTGCTCAGACAGAGCTGTGCACAGGGTGTGAGGGAAGCATGTAGGAGTAGCACCTTAATTGCTCTGGAGATGGGAAATCATGGGAGGCTGCCAGTAGATGGCTTTGAAACTGAGATCTGGAAGTCAGACAGAACGTAGTTAAATAATGCGGGGGGGCACAATTAAAAGGAAAAGGGACAATGTATGCACTAACCATGAGTCAACAGAGAAGATAGTTTCAGGTGCAGTGGTACAAGCCTGTAATCCTGAAGCTGCAAGAGGCTGTGACCAGAGAACCGCAGAGGCCAACCTAGTGAGACCCTGTCTCAAACTAAAAAAATTGAAATGGGCAGCTGTCAGTATCAAAAAAGAAAGAAGAAAGAAAGGGTGAAATGGCATGCTCAGAAAACTAAAGTATAGATCAGCAAATTGTTCTCATTAAAGGCCAGATGTAAACATTTCATGCTTTGGGGGCCATATGGGTTATATTGCAGCCACTCAACTCTGCCATTAGAGCACAAAGGCAGCTACACACATATATAAAGAGATGAGTATGGCTATGTGCTGGTGAAACCTTGTTTACAGAAACAGGGCTCTAGTTTGCCAGCCACTGAATCTGAGTAATTCAGCAAGTGAGGAACATTGAACAGGGAGGAAGGAAAAATGGCAGATCAGGCTGGCAAGACCAGATTACTGATTGCCTTGACGACTGTCGTGGAGTTTGGGGTTTGACCTTTGAGACTGACGGGAGGGACAGAAACAGCATTGTGTTTTGAATGCTCTCCCTTGCTGCTATGCGAACTGTAGATGGGAAACAGTATGGCAAGTTAGGAGACAATGGGGCCAGTTAGAAGGCTGAACTCACAGGTAGCCTAGATGGGATGGAGAGGAGACATTGGGGAGCAAAGAAGGAGGTGACTCTTGGTATGGGGAAATGAGGGGGCATATCATTTAACCCTACACATCATGACTTTTCTAAAGGTAAAGAAAAAACATCTGGAGTATAGGGTTGAATTTTGCACAGGGGCCATCCTAATCTCCGTTATCATTCCAGTTTTACTATGTGTGCTGCCAAAGTGAGCACAGGGTTGAATTTTGATAAGCACATATCTACAATGTCTGACTCATTATTTTTGACTGTGTAACCTTAGGTTTCCTAAGGTTGCTTCGTGGTGTTTCTCGGAATATTACTTTTACCTGCTTACTTGAGACGTCCAGCTTTCCCCAGAATCTCACAGAACTTTTCATGGGCTCACACCCCCATCCGTGTATCCTTCTGGGCAGCTGTCACCCAGCTCCTGACAACTCTGCTGTCTCTGCAACCCTCCAGGTAAGTACCACTGCTGCTGTCACCATTCCTCTCTGTAGGCACTGCCACTTCTGTTCACATCCTTTCTGCTGCTACCACAGCTGCTACTCATGGGGCCTCAGGATTGCACAACCATGCCATGCTCCTTACAGAAGCAGAGAGAGTGTGTCTCTATGCTTTCTGGGCCATACAGTCCCCTAGATTCCACAGCAGTGTGGTCTGTGCCTAGGATGTCTCCTGCCACCCCTTCCTCTGTAAAATCTAGGTCCACATGAACTTATGTTAGGGATGAAGGCAGATGGCAGGCACATTTACCAAACACACATACACCTGCACACAAGCAAACTTCTTGACTCAAGACTTCTCCTCCAAAACCTCCTGACTCTATGATGCAAACTGCCCCCTTTGTTAATTTATCAGAAGTATGGAACAAGTCTGATTCCCAACTCTAACTCAGGTGACATTGTTTGCTCTGGTTCTGTTTCACAAACATTGGATTTTTGTCCCCTCCCTACCCTTCAACTCTAGGACTCAGCTTAGACCCCTTTTTCTCTGGAAAACCTCTTTTCACCCTTGTCCAGGCTGTGTTAGGGGGTCCTTTCTTGATGTTTCCAAAGTAACATGTGGACAACCTCAGACTTGTGCTCACTGGGTCCTGCTGTGATTATTATATATGGTGTCTCTATTAAAATGATAAATTCCTTAATCACCTAGCAGGACTTGAAACATAATAAGCTGTCAACAGATACTTGTGAAATTCATAGATGTAATTTTCCAAAGTATGGGATGTCTGTCACTCTCCTCTGTCAAAGGTGCGGATAATTTTGTATCCACTCCCACATATAAGGACCAGCTCTTTTTGTGCACATTCAAATCTCTCTCTCTCTCTCTCTCTCTCTCTCTCTCTCTCTCTCTCTCTTCACTCTTCTCTCTCTTTCCCGCTCTCTCTCCCCTCCCCTCCCTGCTTTTCATCAAGTATTGGAAAAACACCAGAGACTGGACTCTGACATTGTAGGCCAAGAATAATCTTCACTTGGTCTAGAAAGAAAGTGGGAGGAAATGAAAGCATTCTTCTTCCCTAAACTCTCCAAGAATTAGGGCTTTTTCACATGTGGAAATAATTAAACAATCTATCAGTGAACTACCTCTTTCATCCTAAATTTTCTGTGTACTTTGAAAAGTGTACAATTTGTTTTACAGTAGTTTATCCTATGCATTTCAAAGGAAAACGATAAGAAAGAACAGCTGTAATAAGAATGTGACTTTACTATTTCTACTAAATTTTAATAGATGAAAATGTCCTTGGTCTATATTTGCTCATACATACAAGGAATGCTTTCCTGATATAATAATATACTTAGGCACAGAAGATTTTGAGAAGAATGTACTTCCCAGGATTTCCAGTGTTTACCTTTAGTATTTGTTTATCTTTTCACTTTTTAGGTTAATATTTACATATCTTTGTCCAATATATATTTATTAGATTCTTCTGTACATCAAGCTATGATTCAGCTGGTTAGCACTGAAACTTTGAATTTAAATTTAGTGTAGTTCTATATTGCCTAGTTTTGTTGTTTTATTTTGAATTTTTATTCTCCTTGAAAGAAAAAGAGTTGGGATTAGAAAATGAAAATATATTAGTTAGAAAAACATCTATTCCATTATCTCAGTTGTATCTCATCACTAGTATAATTTCAATGATTTTTTACTTATTTTAATGCACACATGCTATGGGCTTCTCTAAATGTATCTATAATATAATCAAGAACGATTTTTTACAATAAAATGTTGGATTAGGCATTGATTTCTTAGGAACTCTCAGCAGTATTTACATACAGACATCATTTTATACTCTAGCCATTTTAAATTGCCATATGAATTTTTCACAGAAGATCCATCATATGAAAAATAATCATTCTTATAGGTGTATAAGGGTGAAAATGTTTTTCCGCTTGTCAAGTTCTTTACTTTCATAGCCCATTAGAAATTGGTGTAACTGACAAAGGAACCAGCCAACTCATGAGTAAAGGACGCCTAATGTGCACTTTCTACTGTGACACTGGTGCCATCTTGAAAGCTGCCCATTGTGGGATGTAGGGATGTGAACTAGCCAGAATCTTTTGTAATTTAATTTAATTATTTATGCTGCTATCATATCCAATTGTACTTTTTTTATTTTAAGGAGCCTACTGTGGATGTAGAACATTTGCCTAGCTTGCATAAAGCTCTCCATCCCCAGCACTAAATAAATAAATAAATAAATGTCAGTGGACACCAAACAGTTTTTCAAACCCAACTTTTATGCTTCTTATAAGAGATACATCTAAAATGCAAGCCAGGAAAATATACATAAAATGTAACCAGAAAGATTGAAAGCAAAGAAAGATAAAAAATAAAATCTCTTCGTTTAAAAGAAAGAAAGCCATGAGATTCTGAGGAGCTACTTCCTTACTGTTTTCTAGGGCAACAAGACATGAGAAATGGTACAGTAATTATGGAGTTCATCCTCTTAGGCTTTCCAGGTAGCCAAGGATTCCAAGCCCCTCTCTTTATAGTGATATTTCTCATCTACATGTTAACCCTTGCAGGCAATGGCTTCATCATTATCATTGTCTGGGTTGAGCCTAGGCTGCAAATCCCAATGTACTTCTTCCTCTCCAATCTGGCCTTCCTAGAAATCTGGTACACTACCACCATTATTCCCAAACTACTGGAAACCTTTGTAGTGGCTAAGATGGTCATTAGCATTCCCTGCTGCCTGCTGTAAGCCTTCTTACACTTCTTCCTGGGCACCACTGAGCTCTTGATCCTCTCTGTCATGTTGTTTGACTGCTACCTGACCATCTGCAAGCCCCTTCGCTACCCCAGCATCATGACCAGCAGCCTATGCCTGCAGCTGGCCCTCAGTTCCTGGGTGCTGGGCTTCGCCATTGTCTTTTGTCAGACAGTGCTGCTCATCCAGTTACCCTTAGGTAGCAACAATGTTATCAATCATTTCTATTGTAACGTTGGTCCTATCTTGAAAGAAGCCTGTGCAGACAACAACATTTTAGAACTCCTGGGTCTCTTGGCAACTGTCCTGGTGATCCCAGAGTCACTTCTGTTTACTATCATTTCTTATGTCTACATTGTTTCCACTATCCTGCCGATCCCTTCAGCTACTGGCCTCCAAGAGGCTTTTTCTACCTGTGCCCCTCACCTCACGGTCGTCTCCCTGCTGTATGGAGCTGTTTTGTTCATGTACTTAAGACCCACTGCACACTCTTCCTTTAAGATGAATAAAGTGGTATCTTTGCTGAATACTATCCTCACACCCCTCCTGAATCCCTTTATTTATACCATTAGAAACAAAGAGGTAAAAGGAGCCCTAAAGCAGGCAATAATTTCTCCAAAGACTTGCCACTCAAAATAAAACCTGCAACACACTAAAATGAGCTTAATGCAGACACAAAAATTAAGTGTAACACGAGATTGTAGAGAAGTTTGATGAAACAGGCTCCACCAAAATCTCAAAAGTTTTTGTTTACTGTTGTAGCAAGATAAAGATACAAAAGCAAGCCATGATGGATGAGGTCCCCTATAGGAATGTGTCATATATAAATAACCTAGAGCCAACCATGATGGGACAAGCCTATCTATATGGTAATCCCAACTACTTGGGAGGCTGAGGCAAGAGAACGGCAAGTTAAAGCCAATCTGAGATGCCACCTCAAAAACTAATAATAATGATAATAAAAACAGCTGGGCGTGTAGCTCAGAGACAGAGTGTTTGCCTGGCAAGTGCAAGGTCCTGGGTTTGAATCCAAAGAAATAAATAAAAATTGTGTTATGGTTTATACCTAGATATCACCCCCCCAAGCTTCATATGTTCATAAGTGGGGATTTGGGAAGGTGATTGTGTCATGGGTGTGTGATACTCACCTGTGGATTAGTTGACTAGAGAGTTCATAGCTAAATGTGATGTTAGAAAGTGAAGTCCAATTGGAGAAGGTGAGTTACTGGGGGTGTGGCCTAGCAGGGCACCCTCCTTCCTTCCTTACCACCATGCCATGAGCTGTTCCTCCTGTACATGCTCCCTCTGCCATGCCACCCTTCCTTAGAGCCAGCTGACTATGGACTGAAACCTTTACAAACTGTGAGCCAAAATAAACTTCTCCTCCACTGAGTTGTAGGAATGAGAAAGTAACAAAGACAAACTGGAGAGTTTTCCTTGAAAAGAAGTAACTTAATTCCCCACCAAGGAAATTCCAAGATACTCCCAGATACTAGGGACAACTCCAGACTTTTTCAATTGTAAACTGAAAGCGGACATCACAAAGGTCAGGGTCAAAGACAGCAACTTTAAAAAGTAAAGAATCCTGTTTCCTTCTTTGTTTATGACAGCCTTCTTTGCCTTAGCTCCTTGTCAAAGGGATAAGACATTCCACACCTCATTTTCTTAGTTCACCATAAGAAAAGTATGCTGGAGTGTCCCAATCAGTATTAATGGTAGTTCCTAAATGTTTAAAAAGAACCAGGTTTATGGGACTAGGAATGTAGCTCAGTGGCACTGCACCTCCCTGGAAAGCACAAAGTCCTCAGTTCAATCCCTGGTACCACAAAAAAAAAGGTATATGCTTGATGATATATTAATAATGATATTTCCATCTTAATAGGATACAAAATTTTATATAGTATCATCCTAAAGTGGCTCATTCCCAGATAATAATAAAACTTGAGGACTTTTTATCAAAATTTTAATTTACACCTCATGGATTATGCCAGTTTGGGGAATTCATTTAGGTAGACCATGTGCAACAAAAAGGTGTCTCAGAGAAACCTAACTATGTTGTTGGAAAATAGCCCCAAGGTCACAAGAAGTTCATATTCACAGATAGCATGCAAAGGTCTTTAGAAAGCAATGGTCCTTTTCTCAGGAAGATATCCAAAACTGATAGAATGATGATGCAGGTGAGTCATCATAGTCCATAATAACAAGTACTAATAGGTCCCTTTTCCAGCAATAAAGACTGTCATTGATAGCCCATTAAAAATATGATTCTTAAAAAGGATTATTGCAAATTCATTTTAGCATTAAATGAAAAATTGCAAATTCCAAATAAAGTGTTATGAGGTGACAATGTGATTATCTACATTGCTCTCCTTAATCTTCTCTAAGGGCACTGTCTTGAGGTTGGTAATGAGAAATAGGTCCTTTGAGGATATAAGGTTAATCTAAGAACCTGATATGAAAAGCCCTGTTATCAAAACAATAAGTTTCCCTGGATTACAATGTTACATATGTGAGGAAGAAGAGCAGTTAATGATATTATGTAGAACCATTCATTCAGACATATCACAATGGTTCATTAATTGAACCTTGGATCAAAAGGGATGTGGGAAAAACTTTTCCAAGATGAAACTGGAATCATTTGGAGATAGGCTAATCCTCTTCTTTCAAAAGTTGTAATCCTTCTTGTGCTCAATAAATAATAATCATTGCCATCAGGATGGGTATTTTCCAATACTGGATGATGACTGTAGCTGGCTCACTCCCACTGCAGGATGCCTTAGTTATATTTTTCTTTTTTTCTGGGAACAATACAATCATTGCTAGTATACCAGGCCCAATGCTTCCAAATATGTGGGCTGGGCTCCCTTCAAACAATGTCAGCATATTGTTATCTCACAAGTGGAGGATTCATTTGCTACTAACTGGTTTTCAAGGCCTGGAATACACCGGGGTGTTCCACATGGCACCCAGTGTTTTTGTGGCACAGATCTGTGGCCCTGGCTGTCTCCTTGCTGAATTGGTCAGTGCACCTTGGATTTTCCTTGGATGAAAGGGGATGGCTGAAAACTGTTAGCCACCCTGCCAACCTTCCTGTGCTGCAACACAGGTGGATCCATAGTTTGTTCCATTAGTATTGTCATCTAGCCTCTATTTTTATTCCCTCTACTGGATTAGAGGATGTCACATGACATATAGAATCTCTAACTTGATATATTCAGGAAGTCCTTAAAGATACTGCCCAAGGAATCATTTTGTTAATACTGAAGTCCAAGTTATGAGAAAGGCTGTATTTCAAAACTGATGACACTCAATATTTTAACTGCACCATAAAGAGAGACCTATGCAAGTATCAAAGTCAGATGTTGTTTATACATAGCTGAAAACTCTGCCAATACTTCTGCCACTTTACAGGAGTTAAGACAACAAACACAGGCATGTCATATCCCAGTCCTGGCTTTTGGGAAATGATACAGGATTGGTTCTCAGGATCAACAGTGAAAGTAGTCCCCATCACAGCACAGATTTCTTACTGTTTCTTTTAAGGTATATCTCTAAAGTTATCTCAAATTTTATCAGAATGTTATCTTTCCATGATACTCCTAAGTGCCCAACCAACTTAGCAAAAAGGTTTTTAAAAATCTATTGTCAATCTGAGTGTGGAATGCCCAGCTGAACTGAATCAGCATGGTTCTGGGAATGCATGACCAATTTAGGGAGGATTGCGGTCAGAGGGATATAAAAGTTGACAGGAGGGAAGGATTTCACCTGATTTTCCTTGGAAGAGTTCCTTGAAGCTGATTTTCCTCCCAGTGGCTTTGGTTGAGCTCCAGTCCTCACCTTCCTCAAGACTGCTTCCTATTCTCTTTGGAGATCTGGCCTTTGCTTTCATCTTGGACATCATCTCCTGGCTCTCAGGACAAATTTCTTAAGCTTTTCCATCTGCTAGCACAGATTCTCTTACCCTCCAGCACTGGCCCTTGGGCTTTCTCCCACAGGCTCTTTCAGTCTTCCACTGCAGATTCCTTGGCCTCCCGATACAAACTTATATGGGACATTGTAGTGGGCTTCAGACATTGGTCTGGAGTCTTTGGATCTCTAGCGGAGGGATAGATCTCACACTCTTCTACATTTGACTCTGTGGGTGAATACTGTCAGCTAACCTTGTAAATTTCTGTGTCCTGCATTAAATCCATTCCTCTCTTGCAGATACTGACTACAAAAGTAATATATAGACAGTTTGGAGATAATTATATATTTACCAAAGTATCTAATGCCAGACCAAGTGGTTCACCATTCTTTACTTTGAATTATAATTTTTCTCCAATTATAAAAACTGAACTCCAACTATAAAAATGTTGTGCACATATAACTTTTCCAAAGTCATCCAAGTTCTATATCTGTACTGGACAGCTCCTTCACATACTTCTCACCCACCCTCACCCCCTGCCAGACTGGGATCAAACTGAAGTGCGCTTTACCACTGAGCTATATCCCTAACACTTTCTGGGGGTTTTTTGTGTGGGGAGGTGTGGAGGCATGATTTCACTACATTGCTCAGACAGGGCTCTAGTTTGTGTTCTTCCCTCATCAGTTTCCCTCAGTGGTAGGGTTGTAGGTATGTGTCATCACACTAGGTTCTACACACACTTTCAACTGAACCAATTTTACTAACTACTTATCATTTCTTTGATTTGGAGGAAATAACCCCTCTCTATTCCAAATGCACAACTAATCACTTCCTAACAATAGTGTTTTTCTCTTTATCTACATTAGTCACTTTCCCAGAATTCTAACAAAAATACCCAACATCCACAAATTAAAATTAAAAGAGGAGCGGTTTATTTTGGCTTGTGGTTTCAGTGTGTTCAGTCTATATTTGGCTGGCTCTGGGACAAAAATGGTTCAGCAGAAGGGGCTGGTGGAGGAAAAGTCCTCAACCTATGGCAGCCAGGAGACAGAAAGAGTGGAACCAAGCTGGGGATAATAATATACCCTTCTGGCTCACACGCCAATGACTCACCTCTATCCTCTAAATCTTAGTACCCAATAGCACATTCAACTATGCACTCCTCAGTGAATTAATTGTATGGCACCCTCAAGATCCAATCATATTCCAAAAATCCACCTCTGGGCATATGAAACTTCTGTGGGACATCTTAGATATATGCTATAGCATTATCAAATAGTGCTAAAGAAATAAAAAGCCAATGCCTTTGTTATGGCTTGTGTTTAGATGTCCTCCCAAAGCCTCGCATGATCATGGTGAGACTTCTATAGAGTGTGTGGTGCTGTAATTGATTCATGGTGCAATGCTAGGCTCAAGGGCACTAGATTACAGGTGTGAGTGCTACCTGCCAAGTACCCTCCCTGGATAAGATATAAAGGATAGAAAGAGCAGTGGTCATCCCTTGCTTGCTGCCTTCAGCACACAACAAATGGTTTCTCCCCTGCAATGCCTTCTGTCATGCCACATTGTCTTGAAGCCAGCCGATTATGAACTGAAAACTTTATACAAACTGTGAGCTAAATAAACCTCTCTTCCCTTAACTTGTGAGTGTCAGGTATTTTGCCTCAGCAACAACAGAAAATTAACCAAGACAGCCCTCTATCTCTATTAGCATCATTCTACTATAAGAACC